AATTATTTTTAAAAAACTTCATTAGTTTGTTGGTGTGGCATATATGTGGAGCCCACATCTTCAAAAATATAGTGTCATATGAATTTAAAATATAATATATAAAATTTTATGAATTTTAAATTAAAAAATTAAAAAATTTCGCAGGGACCATTTGTGATAGATGTGTAAACCTCAGGGATGTTTTGTGATATGTATGTATGCCACATCAGCAAACTAACGGAGTTTTTGACGGAACCTAACGGCATGGACCATTTGTGATCACACATACTAACCTTGAGGACCACGAGTGACAGAAAAAAACATTAAGGATGCAATCTGATAGTTTCGTAAACCTTAGGGACCTTTTGTGATAATAAGCCTCTTGGAATTGGTATATTTTGGATTTTATAACTGTCAAAATTGTTTAATAATCAAAGCATTAGCACTGACAAGACCTTCTTATGGAGCCATTAGCCCCTCAGTCGTGTAGGAAAGGGACTTTGCCCAGTCAGCTTTGAGAAGCAGTGTTTGCATCACATTGTACTCGGGATCAAGTTCCCGCTGCCATCCCTGCAAAACATAATCAGTGATGAGATTTGTATAAGATCAATTATTGATAACATTTGTTATGTATTCAGACCACATTCAGGTATATCAACTGGTATAATTCATAAATACTTAAAAGATTTAAACACAATTCAATCAAAATAGTCCAAAAGCATAAATGCATTGCAAGCAACATCAAAGGTATATATATGTTACCAGGTCCAGGAGCGTCTTCAAAAGTGCGTGTGTCCCAATGTGAGCAAGCGCAGATTTAATCCGAGATCATGCCCTTGAAGATCATCGACACATTCCCCTTGTTCATAAGTTTCCACCAAAACAGAAGGATGCTAGACATGATAAAAACTGCAAACTGCTGTGCACTCTCATCCAATCTCCACCACTTTAAAGCAGGAATGAAGTTTGAAATTTTTGCTACCAGATTGATTATAACAAAATGTCTACTAATCGATTCACAAACACCAGGATGCCTAACCTTTACGGCAACTACCATGGGCTTCACCTGTTGACCAGCTCCATGCACTTGAGCAATACTTCCAGATGTTGCTGGTTTCTCTTCAAAATTGTCAAAAATCTCCGGGAGCTTGCGGCCAAAAGCTCGTTCGATAGTTTTCTTCGTGTAGGCAAAGCTATGTTCAGGAGCATTGGTGTGAAGCTTTGAGAGCTTGGTGCATATAGAAAGAGCACCAACTATAAACAATTACGAGAATTCCAGTGTATCACCACAAATTAAAGGAGATTGAATCATCAGAAGAAAAAAAATTAAAAATTAAAAAATCCGCCCAGGCGGGTCTGGGCGTTTTTTTTTAATTTAAAGATTTTTAATTTCCCTCAGGTTAAATTTTAATGTTTTTTTAATGCCAAAAGTCACTTTTGGTCCATATAGTTTGGCACTTCAACCACTTTTGACCCTGTAGTTTCAATTCCGTCAATTTTGCCATTATAATTTCATATTTGGAGCAATTCAAGGACATGTTAGTATTCTTGTCAATTTCTTTAACGATGCAAGGGGCAATTTCGTCAACCCAAAACCCTTGAGCATAAAAGGTTGTTTGAAATTCTCCCCATTTCATATTATGGCAAGAAATTCAACAACTAATCCCAATTTTTGAAGAACCGTAGGACCCAAATGACCAATTTCAAGCCCTAATATGAAATTATGGGAGTTTCAAACGAGCTTTTATATGCTCAAGGATTTTGAGTTGACGAAATTGCCCCTTGCACTATCAAAGAAATTGATAGGAATTCTAACTTGTCCTTGAATTGCTACAAATACGAAACCAGAGGGTCAAAATTGACGGAATTAAAACTACAGGGTCAAAAG